AGCTAAATAAACCTATAACAAAAGAAGAGATTGAAAAGGTAATTAAAAAACTCCCAACAACCAAAAAAAGCGCTGGCCCAGGCAGTTTCACTGGAGAATTCTACCAAACTTTCAAAGCGTCGACACCACTACTACTAAAGGTATTTCATAGTATAGAAGAAGGTGGAATACTCCCAAACTCATTCCATGAAGCCATCATGACCTTGATACCAAAACCAGGTAAAGACACCACAAAAAAAGATTACAGACCAATATCCCTCATGAACGTAGATGCAAAAATCCTCAACAAAATTGTAGCCAATAGAATTCAACAACGTATTATAAAAAATAATTCACCATGACCGAGTGGGATTCATACAAGGTAAGCAGGGATGGTTCAACATTAGAAAAAAATCAATGTAATCTATCACATAAAACAAAAGACAAGAACTACATGATCTTATCAATTGATACAGAAAAAGCATTTGACAAAGTCTAACACCCACTCATGATAAAAACTCTCAGCAAAATAGGAATAGAAGGGAAATTCCTCAGTATAATTAAGGGCATTTATACAAAGCCAACACCAACATCATCCTAAATGGAGAGAGTCTGAAAGTATTCCCCTTGAGAACAAGAACCAGACAAGGATGCCGTTTATCACCACTCTTATTCAGCATTGTGCTGGAGGTCCTACCCAGAGCAATTGGCTAGAAAAAGGAATAAAGGGCATCCACACTGGTAAGGAAGAAGTCAAAGTATCTCTATTTGCAGTTGATATGATCTTATACACAGAAAACCCCAAAGAATCCACTAGAAATAATAGAAGATTTTAGCAAAGTATCAGGATACAGGATAAACATGCAAAAATCAGTTGGATTCCTCTACACCAACAAAGAGAACTTCGAAGAGGAAATCACCAAATCAGTACCATTTACAATAGCCCCAAAGAAGATAAACTATTTAGGAATAAAGCTAACCAGAGACATAAAAAACCTATACAAAGAAAACTACAAGACACTACTGCAAGAAACCAAGAGACCTATATAAGTGGAAAAACATAACTTGCTCATGGATAGGAAGACTCAACATTGTGAAAATGTCAATTCTACCCATAGCAATCTATAGATATAATGCAATTCTGATCCAAATTCCAATGGCATTTTTTAAGGAGATGGAGAAACAAATCACCAACTTCATATGGAAAGGGAAGAGACCCCGGATAAGTAAAGCATTTCTGAAGAAGAACAAAGTGGGAGGCCTCACACTACTTGATTTTAGAACCTATTATACCGCCACAGTAGTCAAAACAGCCTGGTGCTTGTACAACAACAGCTACATAGACCAGTGGAACAGAATTGAAAATCCAGACTTAAGTTCATCCACCTACGAGCAGCTGATATTTGACAAAGGCCCAAAGTCCGTTAAATGGGGAAAAGACAGTCTCTTTAACAAATAGTTCTGGCATAACTGGATATCCATCTGCCAAAAATTGAAACAAGACACCCATACCTCACACCATGCACAAAGACTAACTCAAAACAGATCAAATATAAACTCTAACATGATAAAGATCGTGGAAGAAAAAATAAGGGCAACACTAGGAGCCCTAATACATGGCATAAACAGAAAACAGAACATTACTAACAATGAATAAACACCAGAAAAGAAACTAGATAACTATGAGCTCCTAAAAAGCAAACACTTATGCGCATCAAAAGACTTCATTAACAGAGTCAAAAGACAGCCTAAGATTGGGAAAAAAAAATTGGCTACAAAAAATCCAATCATGGTCTAATCTGTAAAATCTACAAGATACTGTAAAACCTCAACAACAAAAATACAAACAACCCAATTAAAAAATGGGCAAAGGATATGAACAGGCATGTCACCAAAGAAGACATTCAGGTGGCTAACAGACAGATAGGGAAATGTTCACCATTGTTAGCCATTAGAGAAATGCAAATCAAAACTACAATGAGATATCATCTCACCCCAACAATGGTAGCATTAATCCAAAAAACACAAAATAATAAATGTTGGAAAGGTTGTGGAGAGACTGGAAGACGTATACACTGTTGGTGGGAGTATAAAATGGTGCAACCACTTTGGAAATCGATTTGGCATTTCCTTAAAAAGTTAGAAATAGAAGTACCATACGATCCAGCAATCCCACTCCTTGGAATATATCCTAGAGAAATAAGAGCTGTCACATGGATAGATATATGCACACCTGTGTTCATTGCAGCACTGTTTACGATAGCAAAAAGATGGAAACAACCTAGGTGCCCTTCAACAGAAGAATGGATAAACAAATTATGGTATATTCACACAATGGAATACTACGCAACAAGAAAGGATAACAATGAATCCGTGAAACATCTCAAAACATAGATGAATCTGGAAGACATTGTGCTGAGTGAAATTAGGCAGTCGCTAAAAGACATATTGTATGAGACCACTATTACAAGAACTCAAGAAAAGGTTTAAACACAGAAGAAAACATTTGATAGTTATGAGGATGGGGAGAGAGGGAGAGGGGTATTCACTAACTAGATAGTATACAAGAATTATCTTAGGTGAAGTGAAGGACAGCATACACTACAGGGGAAGTCAGCACAACTGGACTAAACCAAAGCTAAGAAGTTTCCTGAATACAGTCAAACACTTTGAGGGACAGAGTAGCAGGGGTAGGCGTCTTGGGACCATGCTTTCAGGGGACATCTAGGTCAATTGGCATAACAAAGCTTATTAAGAAAATGTTCTGCATCTTACTTTGGTGAGTGGCATCTGGGGTCTTAATTGCTTGCAAGCGGCCATCTAAGAAGCATCTATTGGTCCCAACCAGCTGGAGTAAAGGAGAATGAAGAACACCAAAGACACAAGGAAAGCAATAGCCCAAGAGACACAAAGGGCCGTATAAACCAGAGACTTCATCAGCCTGAGACCAGAAGAACTAGATGGTGCCTGGCTACCACCAATGACTGCCCTGACAGGGAACACAATAGAGAGTCCCTGATGGAGCAGGAGAAAGGTGGGGTGCAGAACTCAAATTCTAGTAAGAAGACCACACTTAATGGTCTGAGACTGGAGGAACCCCAGAAAGCATGACCCCTGGATTCTCTATCAGCCCAGAACTAAAACATTTTCCGAGGCCAACTCTTCAGACGGGGATTGGACTGGACTGTGGGACATAAAGTGATACTTGTGAGGAGTGTGCCTCTTAGCTCAAGTAGATACAGGGGACTAAACTGGCAGCTTCTGTATGGAGGTGAGATGGGAAGGCAGAGAGGGTTAGGAGCTGATTGAATGGACATGGGGAATCGGGTGGAAAGGATGAGTGTGCTGTCACAGTATGGGGAGAACAATTAGGGTCACATAACAATGTATGTATGAATATTTGTATGGGAGACTAACTTGAAATGGAAACTTCATCTAAACTACAACAATAAAAAAAATTTATCAGTTTTAAAAAAAAAAGAATTATCTTAGGTAAAGGGAAGGTGTCTTAGTCATCTAGTGCTGCCATAACAGAAATACCACAAGTGGATGGTTTTAACGAAGAGAAGTTTAAAAAGTTTAAAAGTCCAAATTCAGGGCATCAGCTCCAGGGGAAGGCTTTCTCTCTCTGTCGGCCTTCTTCTCTTTGGTGTTGCCCTGGACTAGGACCTTCTCTGCGGAGGGACCCCGGTCCAAAGGACGCGCTCTGCTCCTGGCACTGCTTTCTTGATGGTATGAGGTCCCCCTGTCTCACTGCTCACTTCTCTCTTATGTCTCAAGAGATTGCCTCAGGCCACAATCCAGTCTTGTAGATCAGGTCCTGCCTTACTAACACAACTGCCACCCATCCTCCCTCATTAACATCATAGAGGCAGGTTTACAACATACAGGCAAATCACACAGTACCAGGAATCATGGCCTAGCCAAATTGATAAACACATTTTTTGGGGGACATAATTCAAACATGACAGAAGGACAGCACGCACTACAGGGGAAGTCAGCACAACTGGACTAACCAAAAGCTAAGAAGTTTCCTGAATATAAGCAAACACTTCGAGGGACAGAGTAGTAGGGATAGGGGTCTGGGCACCATGGTTTCAGGGGACATGTAGGTCAATTGGCTTAACAAAGTTTATTTAGAAAATGTTCTGCATCCCACTTTGGTGAGCGGCGTCTGGGATCTTCAAAGCTAGTGAGTGGCCATCTAAGATGCATCAGTTGGTCCCACCCCATCCGGAGCAAAGGAGACTGAAGAACACCAAAGGCACAAGGAAAATATTAGCTCAAGAGACAAAAGGGCCACATAAACCAGAGACTCCCATCAGCCTGAGACCAGAAGAACTAGATGGTGCCCAGCTACCACCAATGACCACCCTGACAGGGAACACGACAGAGAGTCCCTGATGGATCTGGAGAAGAGTGAGATGTAGAACTTAAATTCTAGTAAAAAGACTAGACTTAATGGTCTGACTGGGACTGAGAGGACCCCGGAAGACATAGACCCCAGAAGACATGGCCCCTGGACTCTCTGTTAGCTTAAAACTAAAACCATTCTCGAGGCCAACTCTTCAGACAAAGGTTAGACTGGAGTATAAGACATAAAATGATATACATGAAGAGTGTGCTTCTTAGCTCAAGTAGATACATGAGTCTAAATGGGCAGCTCCTGTCCGGACAGGAGATGAGAAGGCAGAGAGGGTCAGGAGCTGGTTGAATGGATACAGGAAATCTGGGGTGGAAAGGAGGAGTGTGCTGTCACAGTATGGGGAGAGCAACTAGGGTCACAGAGCAGTGTGTGTATAAATTTTTGTATGAGAATCTAACTTGCATTGTAAACTTTCATTTAAAGCACAATAAAAAAAACAACTAAAAATACACCGTATAATAAAATGATACTAATTTGCATGGTCTCATCATTCAGTATTAGAATAAATAAGATTATAGAAAATCTTAGCTTAGACTACAGATGACAAATAAGTTCCTAGTGGGTTCTTGGAGCACTGTGAGAAGAAAGACTCTGAGACTATGCCTGGGTGGAAAGAGTGCAGTGCTTGATTACTGGTATGTGCAGTAGATATAAAATTAAAGAGTGGCAGCATGTGTGCCAGGAATTTGCCATCCTGGACTAGATAATCTGTGAGAACCAGTCTTCGTTTTCCTCACTTAAAAGTTTCAGCTCAGGCATTGTGACATTCGTACTGCACAGTTGCCTTGTTGTTAGTTTCTGTTGAGTGGATTCTGACTCATGGCATCCCCATGTGTGCAGAGTGAAATTGCTCCATAGAGAGACTCATTGTTAATGCTATAATTCTACAAAAGTGAACAACCTGTTTAATTTTAGAATTATTGGGTATCTCATCTCTTTGCCTTAGTGAGTACTGTAGATGTTTTGAGAGTAAGAGAAAACATCTATCAATTTCTAGTATTCAAAGGCCGAGTCCACTCCTTGTGGGGAACCTGGATTTAAAGCAGCTTTGTTGAGCCAGTGGCATAGTGTCTGTTTCAGACATCAAAGGACATTAATTTATAATCCTATCAGGTAAACCCAAGGGCAGAGAAGAAGGAAGTTGTTTTGCCGTTTCCAAACTATACGGTGCTTCCTAAACTTTGTTGTACATAAGAGTTAGCTGGAGGACAGAGTGGCTATATATGTTGTGGTTCTGAAGCTCTTACAACTTAGGGGAACACTTTTAAGAAGAAGTATACAAATTTTAAAATCACAGAATTGTATACAAGACCTTGGATTGGGCCCATGTGCCCTGAAGCTTAAGCTTCATTAGTTTAACAGTAAATCTACCTCTTATTTAGGGAGCTTGTTAAAAATCTTAAAAATAAGATTCCTGGCCCTACTCCAGACATTCTGCTTCAGTATATCTGGGATATTTTCAATAAGTACCCTATTTGTTCTTACTGTTGTTAGGAAAACAGTCATACCTTCCTATTTCGGGACACATTAAAAAATTGCCCACATTTGCTTCAGAACTGAAGCAACCCGCTCCTTCCTCAGTACTTATATAGTAACCCCATTTTCTCCAAGCAAGTGTTGTAAATAATACAGAGAACACTTTCCTTCTCAGGCTGAGAGTCAGGCTGGGCTTCAGCTGCACCATGTTGCTGGTCTTCCATGCTAGGTCCCTTCTTTTGCCTTCCCCACAATCGCTGGTATTGGCACAGCTCTCTGGCTCTCAGGCATTGACTCTGAAGGGGAAAGATGACAGGTAGTAGCATCTGGTGGCTTGTATGCATTTGGTTATCTTCCAAACATCATGTCAGGCCATTTAAAGAAATCATCTCTTCTAAGAAATATATTAGGTCCTATTGGATCTGTCCTCCTTAGTGAATGTCCAAGTATAGCAAAGGAAGAAACTAGCATTTAGGGAGCACCTTTCACACAGAATTTCAGTTAGCCTTCATAACCACCTATAAGAGACACATATCACGAGTGCCATTTTATAGATGTGGCAACTGAGGTTGGAGAAGTCAAGCAATTTGCCCAAAGTCACTCAGCTAGTAAGTGTTAGTGACAGGTCTGTCCAAATTCAAAAGTCTGTGCTTTTCTCATTATGCCACGCTGTCTCTGGAATAGAAGGAGGGCCTTACAGAGCCAGGTCAAGGACCCAATACATCAGCAAACTTACAGGGCATGGGACTTCAGAAATGACAAACACCATAATGGCGATTCCACTGAGTAACAGGGTGGCAGCAATCAGAAATTTGACCACAGTGCTCCATTTCTGCCTCTTCGCTAGGCTCTCATCTGTTTCTAAAAAGGGAGAGAGGAATGGAAGAGGGAGAAAAGAAAATTTGAGAAAGGGAAGAAACTGACCCTTTGACTTGAAGATCTCCTAGCTCACAAGACTAATAGGGCTCCACCTAACTCAGAGGCAGAAGATGAATTTCCAATTCAGACTCAGAGTCAGGAGTCGGGTGAGCATCCCGGGCTCTGCTCTAACCTTGCAGCCTCTTCCCAATGAGTCACCTTCCCTGGGGTTTGGGAGTTTTCATGATCAAGCAGGGCTAGTTTTTGCACTCAGGAGAAGAGGCTAGGTGCACGAAGAGTTCTAAATTCACCTTTCACCAGCAGCTGTCTCAGGATCCCTACTCTTCTGCTCTGACGCATTATGTGGGATTAGAAAATCGTTTTTACTATGTCCCATCCTCTTGGCTTTACTGGAGTGTAAGGAGGGACAAGGGTGAATTGGCATTGTTCTGGGTCATAAGTCAAATCTGGAGGCAGATGGCTCATATGCGTCTTGTTATTACTAATCTCATATTTATTTTTTCCCCAGGTAGGAACTGGGATATAACCCAACCTGTAATCTTACATACAGAATTTGAGCCCTGGCCAATTTAGGGAGCCTTGTTTCTAAAAACAGTGTACATGAAAACATGTTATTATCATCACTGTTATTGTTTAGTATAGAATTCATCACTGTTATGATTGTTTAGTATTGAGGTGTCATCTATGTATACATACAGTGGCTGGAATTACCTACCATGTGGATAAGATTTATCCTGTTCCCAAATCTGGCTGCAGGTGAACTTACTTGGGTGGAGGTAAAGGATCACTGATGGTGTCAACCTACAAAAATTTCTGGGACCGTCTTTGCAGAGAAGCTGATTTTCCCATAAGAAATGGAATGATTTTCAAGTGTGAACTCTGTGTAACTTTTCAACCTCCAGGAAAGTCCTAGGAGATACAAACTAATGTTGGGGTTAAAAATGTTTCATTTTCTTTCCTTTCTTGTCTCACCCCTTCTTATTCTGTACCTTGTTGTTTTGAAGGCATAGAAAACTCATCAATACTTGTAGTTCTCGCTCCTTCTTTGTTCCCAGGAGTTGTGGAAATGGTAGTGGTGGAAAAAGTCTCTGATGAAGCTACCATTACTGGGTAGACCTTACATTGGGCGATCCCTGGTAAAAAAGCTATAAAACAAGAAAGAAACAATGAAAGGACAACTGAGAAAACTTTATCCTGCCTTTGATTTTATCTGACACAAACCCTAGCTTTACTCCGCTGACATTACATTTCTGACTGTGGCCCCATCGACTTGTCCATAGGTTTAGGGTGTGGGCACAAAGTAATACCAAGAATAAATGAGGACAGAGATACTAATAAGAGATGCAAAATAACCCCCGTGGGGCCTTTGACTGAAGTTGGATCAGAGCTTATCTTGATTGTCTGTAATTCTTAAGGCCATCATAATAACTAGGATGGAGAGCGTATGTCATGGATTGAATTGTGTCCCCCAAAAAATGTGTGTAGCAACTTGACTAGGTCATGATTCCCAGTATTGTATGATCGTGTTATCTGATGTGATTTCCTTATGTGTTGTTGTAAACTCTACCACTATGATGAGATTATATGTGATCTCCTCATGTGTTGTAAATTCTATCACTGTGATGAGGTTATACTGATGAGGTTGACAAGATTAGTGTCTTAATGCAATCTCTTTTGAGATACAAAAGAGAGAAGCGAGCAGAGACACATGGGAACCTCATACCACCAAGAAAGCAGTGCCGGGAGCACAGCGTGTCCTTTGGACCTGAGGTTCCTGCGCAGAGAAGCTCACAGACCAATGGAAGATTGATGACACAGACCTTCCTCCAGAGCCAGCGGAGAAAGCGTTGCCCTGGAGCTGATGCCCTGAATTTGGACTTGCAGCCTACTGGACTGTGAGAGAATAAATTTCTCTTTGTAAAGCCGTCCACTTGTGGTATTTCTGTTGGCGCAGCGCTAAATGACTGAGACAGCGTAACACTGTCAAAAGTTTCCTTCTTTAAAGAAGGTGGCTCCAAAGTCTAAGGAAGAACATGAAATCTCATAACTTGCTTTAATGACTGCTGCAATTATGTCTAAGTCAACTGTGGAATCTAAGTTAACTACTGTGAGAGAGGACGGGGGAGAGCAGGAGGAGTTGGAAGAAGGGTCACCCAGCTTGTAAACTCATTTTCATTTAATTAGCAGATATTTCAAAATGAGTATTATGTGTCAGGCACTGCTTCAGGTACTTTAGATATATCAGTTGGATACATTAGAATGTATCCAACTGAAAGGAAGGGAGGGTGGGGCAGGAGGGAAGGGAAGCAGATAACAGTAAGCATAATAAATAAATTTTATAGTATGTTAGAAAGGGATTAGTGCTACTTTAAAAAAAAAATTAAAATTGTCATCCAGTAAGAGAAGAGCCTGGAGGCGGGGGCCTGCAGTGGTTGGACAAGTTGCCATATAGGGTAAGTCTCATTGAGAAGCTGAGATTTGAGCCAAGATTCCAAGGAGGTGAGAGGGTTAGCCAAGCAGATATCTGGGGAGGGAGTGACAAGCAGATACCTGGGGAAGAGGTGACAGCTAAAGTAAAGGCCCCAAGGCAGAATGGGTCTGGCATGTTAGTGTTTTAGAGGAATAGCAAGGAGATTGGTGAGACTGGAATGGAGTGAGCAAGGGTGATAGTAGTAGATGAGGATCTAGAGGAAACAGGCCCATGTCACATACGGTCTTGTAGGACAGTTTAAGGTTTTTTATTCTGATTGAAATGGGGAGCCACTGCAATATTTTGAGCAGAAGAGTGACAGGATGACTTACGGTCTTAAAGGATCACTCTGACTATTGGGAATAGAGTGTAGGGGACAAGGGTAGAATCAGGGTAACCTGTTAAGGAGGCTGTTTCAGAAATCCACATGAGAGATGATGGCAACTCAAACCACCAGTAGAAGTGATTAGAAGTGGAAGAGTTCTGGCTGTAGTTTGGAACTAACTTCACTTGCCTCCCGAATTGACCTAATCTAACTCAGACAGTGATTCATATTTCAATTTTATTGGGCTCATATCATTTCTTATTAAATTAAGCTCTTTAAGTTCTACTTGACTTTTCTGAACTACTCTTTCATGTCTTGATTAAGTCTGTGTGAAAATGACAGTTCTTTTTCACACATGCCAGTGGCCACAGTACTGGGCACTGTATATGAAATTACAGAGGAAGGATTTCAGTTTAATCAGGAAGACAGCGTTGGCACATATAGGCGGAGACACATATAGAATCAACAGGTTCAAAATGAAAAGCAAGGAAATTATGTTAAGTATTTTCAGCATAGTGCCAATCAGTTCTCTGAAGTGATAACGTGTTTATGAGACAGATGAGATGAAGATAAGTAAATCTCACTTTGGAAAAGTCACATAAGTTCTCTGAGTTTAGTTTCCTTATCTGTAAGAAGGTTATAATAAAATAATACTTGACCAATCTATTTCACCGGGGTAGTTGAGAGAACACCCAAACCCACTGCTGACGAGTCGATTGCGACTAGTAGCGACCCTGTAGGAGAGAGTAGAAATGCCACATGGGGTTTCTGAGGCTGTAAATCTTTATGGAAGCAAGCTGCCACATCTTTCCTACACCGAGCGGCTGGTGGGTTCAAACCGCCCACCTTTTGGTTAGCAGCTGAGCGCTTTTAACGACTGTGCCACCAGGGCTCCCTGAAAATGAGAAAGCAGGTGTGAAAACACTTTGTAAACTGAGTAATACTGTGATTGAGAGGAAAACAAATCTAGAGATCTTCCTTCTCTAAGTAGAGCTATGCCCTCTAGCCATGGGGATAACGGTATTTCAATGTGGCATGTTTTCCCACCTCCTAGGAGCCACTCTTTGAAAGTCTACTTAAAGGTATCATTTGTCACTGCACTTTTAGCTCTGCCTAACTTCTAAGTGAATGTTCATCCATGTTGGCAGCTCATCTCTCTTAGATCCCATCTGCTAGATAACTGAGCATTAAGGTGGAGCACGTTGGTAAATGCAAATACCACCTTCCCAGTGATGATGGAATTCCAGTATTAATTTTTCTTTGGCTAAGGATATTTGAACAAGAATGCCCCACTTTAAGGAGATATAAAAAATGCAGATTTATGAAATGGATAATTTAGGAGATGATTATTTATAGTTCCAAAGGATGCTTTGCTTTACAAAATTATTTTTAATATCGAATGTTAAGTACATTGTATTTAAATAGAAATCTCCCTTAGAGATTATTCTGTAATAAGACTATCAGGTTGAAGGGCTATTTGAGAAGCCTTACATATATTGCAGTTGAGTTTGTGCTTCAAGATCTAACCCTCAGCTTTACATATTTAGAAATTAGATCATCTAGTCAAATCCAAAATATCCTAAATACTGTGTGCTTAAAGTCAGGAAAGGTGTGCATCAGGGTTGTGTCCTTTTACCATACTTACTCAATCTGTATACTGAGCAAATAATCTGAGAAGCTGGACTGTATGAAGAAAAACGGGGCATCAGGATTGGAGGAAGACTCATTAACAACCTGCATTATGCAGATGACACAACCTCGCTTGCTGAAAGTGAGGAGGACTTGAAGCACTTACTGATGAAGATCAAAGACCACAGCCTTCAGTGTGGATTACACCTCAAGATAAAAGAAAACAGAAATCCTCACAACTGGACCAGTAAGCAACATCATGATAAATGGAGAAAAGACTGAAGTTGTCAAGGATCTCATTTTACTTGGATCCACAATCAGCACCCATGGAAGCAGCAAGAAATCAAACGATGCATTGCACTGGGCATATCTGCTGCAAAAGACCTCTTTAAAGTGTTGAAAAGCAAAGATGGAGGGCGTATGTCATGGATTGAATTGTGTCCCCCAAAAAATGTGTGTAGCAACTTGACTAGGTCATGATTCCCAGTATTGTATGATTGTGTTATCTGATGTGATTTCCTTATGTGTTGTTGTAAACTCTACCACTATGATGAGATTATATGTGAGGATTATATCTTGAGGACTAAGATGCCCCTGACCCAAGCCATGGTGTTTTCAGTCATCTCATATGCATGCAAAAGCTGGACAGTGAATAAGGAAGACCGAAGAAGAATTGATGCCTTTGAGTTATGGTGTTGGTGAAGAATGTTGAATAT